CCCAACCATTTTCTTCCAATATAATATTAAATTGTTAAGCAAGCAAACATTCAGAAGTGAGATCCAATGTAACACTTTGCTTATTTTCTGGAAAATCGTACAACCAACATCTTGGTCAAACTTGTACTTAGATTCTCTCATTCATTCCTATATTGCACAAGCAACATGTCCCTGCTGTTAATATTTAGAAATTTCCTAATGTAATGAGTCAACTGTTAAATATTTTTGCAAATAAACACTATCCCACCCAGGGAAGATGATAAACATATAAATCTGTCTGTTTGCTGAACACTGTCATTAGCAAGGATCTGGACAGCAGCAAAGTGGCAAAAATTCAGAGCAAAGGACTGCAGATACCACATGACAAGTGTGAGAGGCCCTCTGTTAACTTCCTTGCCAGAGCGAACAAGGCCAAGTGACTGATTTAACAGATTCACACGGCCACAGGTTTAGAACCTGGCTTACACCCAGCAGGATTTGCAGAACGAGATACGTTTCCAACTCTGCTCTACACTGCGAGCCAAAAAAGGCCCAACTTTTTACTCTCTGTTGCACAAACGTGTGCATTTTAAGGAGAAGCACCCATTTCTAACACAAAACTCCATGCTTAAACTGTTATGTCTCCCAGAATAGCCTAATAGAGACACAAAGACTGTATGTTAAAAATAGTTGAACATCACAAAACAGTAAGGCTGTTTAAAAACATTTCGGCAATGTTTTTTCTTCAAACATGTATCCTTTTAAAATAAGTCCACATGCTGGACAGTGTACTCACCTTTCTCTTCCTTAAAATTTTTTCTTACCTGTTAAATATTTTGTGATCTTTCCCATCAGCACATTTAGAACACATTCAGATCTACTTTATGTTTTTCCCTGGCAGCATAAATTCTAGTATATGGATATATTATGGTTAATTTAACCAATCCTCTGTGGACAGATCTTTAGACTATTTCTGTTTCTGATAGCTACAATAAACACTCTGGTACACAGGCTAAATTCCAGATGGTTGAACCACTAGGTCAAAGACCATGTGCCTTTTAAATTTAGAAAGATGCTGCCAACGACTCTCCAAAAAAGATGGCAGCAATGTACATGCCCATCCACAGGGCCTCTTTTCCACAGACCCATGCCAGAAGTGGGCATTATCAAACTTAAAATTTGCCAATCTGATGGGTACAAAATAGAATTTGATGGATGTTTTGCTTTATATTCCTTTAATTGGGAGGGTCAGGGTCAGAATCTGTAGCCCTGGCTTTTGGAGAAAGGTACTATGGAAAAATTACCCACTGCCCAGAAATAAAGAGACCTGGCTTCCAGACCCGCTTTTTGGCCATGAGACTGTGGGCAAGTCACCTGACCACTTCTCACCAGAGCCTCCTTGTCTGTGGAAGTCTCTACACGGCCTGCCCCTGCCTCCTAACACATAACAGTATGGAATTAGCACTTCAGAATGACAAGCCTGGCCAGGCCACAGTGGCTCACGCCTGTAATTCTAATGCTTTGGAAGTCCAAGGCGGAAGGATTGCTTGAACTCAGGCATTTGAGACCAGTCTGAGCAACACAGCAAAACCTCATCTCTACAAAAAATTAAAAAAATATATTAGCCAGGTGTGGTGGTGCACATGTTTACTCCTAGCTACTTGGGAGGG